TATATATATATATATATATATATATATATGATGAAGCGGGTTTTACAATGTGCCAAGCGCCAAGCATTTTCCCGCCACAACTCAACACCAAAACAAAGAAACTGTTCTGGCGGATCTAGAGGGGGTTGTGGGGGTTTCAACACCCTCCTATGGATATGAATGAGAGAGAGAGAGGGAGAGAGGAGTCCCAGATATTTGTGAAGAAAATTAGGTTGTTGAAAAATAAAATCCGTGCCTGCAATGTCGCATGCACAGTTTTATTTCACCTGGATAAATTAACAGATTAATTCAGATATATTACTAACAGATCATGTATTTCAGTTTGTTGCCTCATAAAAGGAACAATTGGTTTGCGGCCGATTTTTGACGCTTGGTCAATATATTTCTTGTTTAACAATTTACATGAGAGTTTACTAAGGAGATAACTCCTACTTGACAATTCTAAGAAGACTTATAAAATAAATAAATTAAATAAATATTTGATTTTATGTTCGTTTTGAAACTTACGTCTATGTCTAAGAGCACACCTGCCGAGAAAAAAAAATATACATGTACGCATGTCGTGTTTATTTTGAAACAATACTTTTATAGATTATATCATTACACATTAAGCGAATAAAAATAAAAAATAAAAAAAAAAAATAGACGTTTGATTTATTATTACTCCTTTCAAAATATACGTTAGAGTCTGTAATAAAAGAAATAACCATTACTTGACCATAAGAAAATAAGAAAGGTTCTGAAATATTATTCTAATAACGTTTTACTGTACCATCCTTTCCTTTTGAATTTGATTTAAATTACGTCATTTTTTCTTTAGAATGATGGATAGGAATGATATGAACATAAAACGATACTTTGTACACTTATAAATACATGTAGTATTTTGATTTTTCATTTTTTATTAAAAAAAATGTTTGTTTTTTTATTTACATTGTATATCCTTCTCCACTAAACATATAGATGGTTGTGTAGGAATAGCTTGCTTTATAGCTTCTCTTACCTGTTACATTTTGTTATTTTTTTCAAATTACAGAGTTGAAGTATTTTACAGGTTGCACAACAGTATTACATTTTGCTATATATTCTTACCAAAAATGTGCAACTTTGAGTAGGTGGTATTAATTGAAAACAAACTTTTGAGACGTTTCCTTTTCAGATCTTGTAAAACAATTTTTTATAAAGATTTTAGTACCAAAAAATACATAGTCATCCAGCAAGGCACGCAAGTTTGTTTCGGTCGAAGTCGAGCAGGTGCTAATCACTCCCCACTCAAATACAGTATATAGAAAAATCAGCACGCCCTAAATTATAATGAATCTAGTCAATACAGGAAGTTTACATATTGTTTTTCATCTCATAAAAAAAATTCAGCTCCAGTTTCGTGTTAAAATGCCCGAATCGGAAGGGAAGATTCAGGAATTAGTGAAATACTGTTATGACACCTACATGTACAGTCATCGGACTGTGCACTTCCTCTCTTCTGTGATTGGTAGAAAATGCATGATGTGAAAATTTTCAATTATTTCATTGGTTTAAATGCTGTGCTAGGCAAGGGAGATAATTTTCCGGTGATCTGTTTTTCGTACGACTTAACAATTTTTTAAGATTTTCAATCTTTAAAAAAAAATCAACAAAACGAAACAAAGGAAATTGCGGTAAATAAAAAATGATATTTTATTTTTTTTAAAAAAACAACTATTATTAAGCTTTTCTATATTTTCATGATTAACAAAACTTTTTTTTCTGCATGCAAACATTGAAATTTTCCTTCTTTTATATGGTAGGGCTAATGTCTGGTAAAAAAAAAATAATAAAAGCTGTTGAAGAATCCAGGATCTACAGTACTTAAAAATAATACGGTCTGATAGGTATATGTTTAAAGTTGTTACTAAAGATGGCAATTAAAGTTTTTGAAAAAGTTATACTTGTTATACAACTCTGTTGCATACAATAATTGATATTAAAAGGAACAAGATATTACGTAATAACTGTTACAGATTCTTTTCAAAATGACCGTAACAGTAAAATGCATACAGTAGTCTTTATTAGCATGTGCACATGTGCTCTTGGGCCTTCTTAAATTTCTAAATGAACATTAAATAAAATGCTTAAATTAAAAAAAATGACACCAACTTCTTGGTTTTAATAGAATCAGTTCATTAATTTGTCAAGTACGCGCTATCTCCTTTAATATCAATCAAATGAATCAAGTATAAATAATTTATTTCTTTTAGTATCTTTTGATCAAATCTCAACCAAATACCTTATTAATAATATAAGTTAAAAATAATATTTAAAAAAGTTGTGCCGTTTGTAAGAAAGAATGTGAAACAATACAAAGGTGTTTATTCTGTAAAGATATTTTGCCATTTTTTAGAAGTCTAAGGCAACATATATACAGAACTACTTCAATAAAGGTTAGATGAAATCACTACTTCAATAAAGGTTAGATGAAATCATATTAGGTGAGATCCCTTTGTCAAAAAATAAATAAATAAATAACGACAGAATTGTAAACTCTTGTCTATTATATACAAAACAGTATATCTTTACTGTAGAAGAAAATGTCATATTTCAATGCCCTCTTATGTCATCTCAGAGTTTCTTATCAATCCGAAAGTATAAAATATCTAATTTTAATTCCATGTGGTCTTCTTGGAACCTGGTTTTGTTGATTGACATTAATATTATTTAAAGTCATTAGACTTCGGGGTTTTTTTTAATCTTCAAACTGTCTTTTAAAAGAAACACTGTATATTTCATAATTTGGAAATTACATATGTACGTGTATAAGGTTAAGTGAAAAATAAGTGACAAATTGTATTACTTATTATTTTTGACTATACTTGACTGATAAGTGTAAATAATGGATTGGATAGTGTAGTTGATTGAGTGATTGCGTATGTTAAATTAAAAGTTTAGAATTAAGAAAATTTAAAACTAACTATAACAATCTACAGACGAAAAAGTCCATGTGAAACGTATCTCTTAAATGTAAAAATGTATATTTACAATTACTTTGTTGATTACGAGATAAATTTAAAGAACATTCTAAAGATTTTTTTAATAAAGATTTTTATTAAAAATGATAATAATTAAGTAGAAAAAAATATTGTTCTTACAATATATGATTACAGGGACGTAATATCGTTTTTAAAAGAGGGGGGGACAGCCTGAGAAAAAAATTTCAACTTACCTGAAAAAAAACCTTGACAAGCAAAAGAAAAAAAAAAGGAAAATTCTCCGAACTCGAAAATCCCATTTTATTCATACACTACTACAAAACCCTTATTTGACTATTCTACAACAAAAAAGTGAGGGGGGGGGGGGGCAACCGGCCTTTCAATTAACAATTCAAATAGTAAAAAAAGTCTTTGGGAAAAAGTGGGGGGCCAGGCTACCCCTGCCCCCCTTCCTGTTCCTACGTGCCTGGATTACTTGAACTTGTTACTCTTAATCGTATGTAGTTAGCTTAATGTGAAGACACGCGTTTAACTTCCATGTTCAGTACTGTAGGAATTTTATATACAAAGATATGATTTATGATTATAAAATTGTTTTAGCAATTGTGTCTTTTTGTGACAACTGAAATTAAACTTACATGAAATGAAAACATTAAAATATTCATCATAAACTGAAAGAAATGAGACGTACAAAAATTGCTATAAATCATTTTTATGTTCACATACATGTAAGACATAAAAGAGCTAGTTTCTTTTTGTGTGCTTTTATTTTCTTTTCATTTTATATATATACACTGTATCTTAGAAGTTATGATACAATACTGTGACGTATGGTCATGATACAATCATGATACAGTCATGATACACAGAGTATAGAACAACAATTCCAACATACAACAAGGATGGCACCGACACATTCATTGATATACAGCTGAAATTACAAGTGAAAAAATTCATGATTCATGAAACTCGATACATGAAGACATCGATCATTTTCACAAAAACGGTATTTTTAGTTACATATGACAGTATACAAGATATACATATACATTTACTTTAAGCTATTGAATATCGCAGTAGTTTAGATACAGATTTTTCAATAAAAAAACTTTTTAGGGATTTTAAGATTGTCAATCTGTTCTTTATAGAATGGGATTCGATTAATCTTAAACGCTACGTTAAAGGTTCTATATATGCTTCAAGGTCTGACAACACATTCCTTAATTATAAATAATTTTCCCCAAGGAAATAAAACTACTTTAAAAAAAATTCCTCACAAAAAATTTAAGGTACATTACCATGCATTTGTGCAAGACTCCAGAGGATTGTATTTCCTATATAATTCTATTAATATTACAAATCACTTAAATTGCTATATCAGTATTTTTTGTGTATACATTTTTAATATATTTTAATAAATATGATAGATAATAGAAATAAAATGAATAAAACATGCCAAGCCTTCTTGGCAAGGTCTGAGGAAATGGGGAAAAAAATTCTGAAAGAAATAACAGAGTTTTATATAAAACATTTTATAAAGGACAAACATGTTTACAGAAAGAAGACAGGATTACAATGTTTCTATTCGTTGCATCATAATATATATGAATAAAGACATATATATAATTAAGTGCCTCATCAGGAGGTTTGATCGTGATATTTAGATTCTGCATTTATAGAGACATATAAACTCACGTGTACAACTTTCTCTGTGTGACAGAAGTACTTGGGGTAATGTATTTTTCATCTGAAGTATAAAATTATCTGTCAGCCGAATTTAAGTGTTTTTAGTTCAAGTAATTATCTGCAAAGAATGTGTCAGCTGTACTGATGAATTATTAATAAATGTTGACATTTGAAAAAGCTTAAATTTTCTTTCTTGTCAGCTGAAGTACAAAAATATGATACATTAGTTGATGATAATATGATTTTTTTTATCTACAACGTACAGTGTACTTTGTACATGTAGAGATACTGCACAATGTGTGCACACTAATATTGAACATTTAAAGCTCTAAAAATCAACAATATGTGGTCCTTAATCGTAAACATAATAAATAGTACATTTGTTGTAATTTCAAACTTTCATTCCATACCGCACTGTATTTCAAATTCAAAGTTTCACTTGGGGAATACACATGTATGTATTCACCTATACCCTGAAAGCGTTGCTGTATGCGCCAAAGCCTTTCTGCGCAGTTCTGCTATACTGGTGCCCCGCCAAACATCTTCCACTTCCTGCATCCCACAGTTCACTTGTGGATGAGAAATCGGCGGAGAGTTGGAACTTGCTGAAAGAGGAGAAGCACAGCTTACAGACGGAACACCAAAGCACGTGCTGTGCAGCGAAGCACCATTATTTGGCATTGAAATGTTGCTTGCAATCGTGGAGCAAGCTTCCTGAAGACCCGTGAATGGGACTTGAGACCCAAAAGACTGACCCAGAGATGTTTGTCGAGGCAAGGAGGATGCTAGGGCAAGAGGGTTCCCGTTCATTGTTGATGTCATGCTCGGAATCGAAGACCATCTCGAATCTGTGGGACGAAAGGTGCAGAAAGCGTCATTCATTGTTCCGAATGGAGACATCCCAGGATTAGGCAACAAGGCGCCAGGTGTTCGGAACACATTTGTTGTCTTCTTTCTTTTCTTCCACTTTGCCCGCCGATTTTGAAACCATACCTGTTAAAACCGAGTGTTAAAAATATGAAAAACAGATGAAATTCATGCATAAACACAGTGGTTAAAATGAACATGATGAATAGATAATTACATTTGATGTAGGTTCGTAAATATTAATTCAAAATAAAGTGTAAGCTACACAAGTACTATAATAGTGTATATACTACAGTTGTATTTTTTATGAATTGTGGCAACTGTTTTACACAGACACCCAGTGAAGATTGGAATAAAGGATTTTGGAGAATATTGTGATCGGACATGATAAGATATCGCACCATTTGGTCTCCTTGTTACAATGAAAACACGGGGAATGTAAACTTAGATATAGTCATATATCCAATATAAAAATTACCAACGTTCCCCAAGCTTTCTGTTTTATTAAATAAATGTATAGGTATTTATTTATTCTTCTTCAAGGATCTATGAATGGAACTAAAAGCGTGCTTTCAGCTTAGTGTTGACAATGTAAAAGGTTATGATCACAATTACATGTACATCTAATAAAATATAGATAATTATAATTACCATTTCGTTATGATTCTAATTATATTTAATTATATCAATTCAAATTTTAGATTGTATGTTGTCTCAAATATAAAATAAACACACCAATAGAAAAAAATTAAATGTCAAGAACAATCATTTTATCACCAAGTACATATTGTAATATAAGAGGTTGGACAACCTGAGTTTTCATTCAGTAAAATGTACAGTAATCAATGTTAATTATATATAATATGTCTGAAGGTGCGACCATTAGGGTGAGCACAATTTATGATTGGATACTATAATTTTATTCGTCTCATCAAACCGCATGACACATTTTTGAGGGCGTTTATACTTTCCAACACTGACTTTCATCAACAACTATAGCATTAGATTCAAATGGAAAGCAGTATGAGGTACATGCGTGGAGCGATGCTTATTTTTTTCAGAAATGAATTCTATATCTGAATATGTTGTGAAGAAAGTTTGACACAGAGAATAGGAAGAGCAAAGAATTATTATCACAACATAAAATTAAAAGTATGAGATATATATTAAAAATAATATTTAGCGTCATACATTAGAAAACATAATAAATCGCAGCTTATTACATAATACATTGTTATCATCAACAAGAGTTATCTTTCTTTAAAATATTTTTTTCTCTATAGATTGACTGATTGATTCACAGGTACTTGTGGACAGGACCCTCCCCCCCCCCCCCCGATATTCAACCCCGGGGCTTGTTGGACATTTTTTTCACAAATTATATTTATTGCATTTATTCATCATGTGTACCAAAGGAAAAAATCGTGAAAACCCCAAAATAATCGTTCCACACAAAAATACCCCACTATGCATTATAAGAGAGAAAGGTATGCCACTCCGGTTTGTTTACGTTGTACCCCCACTGGTCTTTCTGGATTTAAAAACATGCATTTATTTTATTTTAACCTAAAATGTCGGTTCACATTGTCTCTACATGTACATATATATTTCTGTCTTAGTTCATGCTATCGGAATGACTCTGCATCTCGTAAGAATCCCACAATTAATCCTTAAACAGCATTGCAGTCGGTCATCCTTAGGTAAACGCAACGGAAGTACATCAAGAATGTATCACTTATTACGATAACGCCCGAGAGAGTTTTGGCCTGACGTAATAATCTCTCTCGGGTGTTATCATAATAGGTAATATATTCTCTATGCACTTCCGTTGCGTTTACCTTAGGATTTTTCAACCCACTGACTGCAATGCTGTTTAAGGATTAATTGTGGGATTTTAACGAGATGCAGAGTCAATCCGATAGCACGAACTAAGACAGAAATATATGTAGAGACAATGTGAACCGACATTTTAGGTTAAAATAAAATAAATACATGTTTTTAAAGCCAGAAAGACCAGTGGGGGTACAACGTAAACAAACCGGAGTGGCATACCTTTCTCTCTTATAATGTAAAGTGGGGTATTTTTGTGTGGAACGATTATTTTGGGGTTTTCACGGCTTTTTTCCTGTAGTACACATGATGAATAAGTGCAATAAATATAATTTGTGAAAAAAATGACCAACAAGCCCCGGGGTTGAATATCGGGAGGAGGGGGGGGGGGTTCTGTCCACAAGTACCTGTGGATTGATTGTATGTTGTTTAGTCCCATTACAAATTTAGACCTATATTCAGCGCTCGGGGCCATTGAGCAGTGAGGGCTCTTTATCGTGTCAACGCTTACCGTGACATGGGACCTCGGTTTTTAAGGTCTCATCCGAAAGACCAGTGACTTTCGCTTCTAGTGCGGGGCGCTTGGCGAAGGCACAGTCACGGGTCTTTCGGATGAGACCGAAACGTGGGATAATTTGCATAACGGGCGAACTTTCCTGGCATACCCAACAAATTAGACAGCGATTCCTTATAGTTTCCTTATATTATCATTTATACATGTATGTGAAATAAAATTGTAAATATAAATTTTAAGAAATGCTGTCTAATATTTAGATTTAAAGTACACGAGGCCTTCCATGTTAATTTCAATAGTCCCCGCCTACTGACGTCAGACACGAACACAGCCGCACGAGATTGACATGCATATTACATGTAGGCTTCTGATCTTTCAGTTGGCAAAATTTACATTCAGATACAATAAAATGCTTTCTTTGGTGGTTAGTACGGGAATTAATGTCGCAGCAATACATAACCTGCGTAAGTGGGTTATGTAATTTTTTTCTGCAATAGCTGAGACGTTAATTCCCGTTCAAACAAACAAAGAAAGGCATTTTATTGTTTATATTTATATCTGTATAAAAAACTTTCAAAGTAAAATTAGATATGTTAAATATTGTATTATAGATGTGTATGTCATTGTATGCGTAATTGATGGAACAGCCACGGCTCAAGGAATCTATGCAGGTGGCTTGCTAAGTGTCGTTTACTGACTGATAAACGGCAATGGTTTTCTTAAGAAACGAAGGAAATAATATTCAGTGGATATAAATAAGTAATTACAATGTATCATGAAATCAACTCACCTTACTTTCAAAGAGTTATCACATGCAGAGAAAACAATTAGAAATGTAAATATTTTCAGACAACTATGCGTGTATGTACAAGACGTATACTTAATATATGTATGTATGATAATGGATGCTCAGGATGCACTCAGGGTGATCAAACACGTGTTTAAATAAGTAGCAAAGCCCTTACTAAAATAAACCTTCTTTTTCTTTGAAGATATTATTTGGGATGGTGAAATCAGCAAGATGCTTAACCGATATAATATAAAGATATCTAAATTGAAGCTTTTTTTCAAGTTTTAAGTTGCGAGTAAGTGTTTTCGTAAAAAAGATTCCATGTGTTATTCGTAATGTCAAAATATTATCTAAATTTCAGATATTATATATACCTAGACTTCTTACCATACATGCGCTGTGAAATTATTCATATTAGTTTTTTTTTTATTATTATTTTTTTAAATATATTTATATATAATAATAATAATATAATTATATATAATAACTTTTCCTAATACATGTAACTTAGTGAACGAATATTTAACGGTGGTTAGCCTGATATTTAATCCTGTGCATTTTGTAAATAAAATCTAAAAATAAAACAAGTATATATACTTATAAGTTTGAGCATGCACTCTGTACTGAATTCTGCTTTCTATGCGAGATTGGAATACATACTTAACGGTTGTCTTGGATATTTATGATTATAATTATATCAGTATTTGATTATTATTGGTTGTATGTTTTATCTTCTAGCTCTAGTATGTTGTAAATCTATACCATACATAACTCTAATGGAGTTTTAAATAGTAAACTTGTTAATTTCCAGAAAATGTCAAATGTACCACGCATTTTTTATTAATTTTATCACATAAAGAAGAAACACTCCTTCTTGTGAAACTCGACCACTGACTATTCCGATCTAAAGCTAAAAAAGTGGTTCTTTTCCTAAAGTATGAAATCGCTGTCAGGACGCGCAGTCTCGCGAGAGGAGCGTGCGTTTGGATGACATGGCAGACCCGTTTTCCAATAACAAGTCACACGCAAGCACGGTGGCCATAACAAAATGCTAATTGTTCCATTTGCACATCTTTGACAGGACTGAAATACCGTTGTGTCATGATATTCCTTTGACAATTTAGTAGAGTTAATAAAATAATTATAAATGTGTCAGGCATAGATAGACTGTGGTAGGAGAGATAATTTGTATGTTAATTGAAATGTTTCAATAGCGTGAGAGAAAAATTCATCAAAATCGTATGCTTCATCAATGTACATGTTTATCAATTTTCAACCAACGTCTCAAATCCACTTAAACTAACCACTTATCAAAAAAAAAAATTATTCTTAAATAATACTGTAAAATTAAATGAAAAAGAGAAAGAAAAAAATCTAAACAAATATATTTAAAATGGCTCTACAATTCATCAAGGGCTGATGCGAATTTTATAAATGTATATTTTATAGACTGTGGGTCATTTTTATTTTAGAAGTATATTAACTACAATATTTACCGCATATTTACAAGGCATTATTACCAAACTACAATGCATTTAAAATGCGGAGGTTTGAATGCAATTGAATTTGTTTACTTTTCACAGGTTTTATTTATTTTAAGCAATTAATTGAAGAATATATGTGTGTATAAATCGGCTAGGATCAAAGACTTTATTAATAGGATTTGTGTACAGGAGAATATCAATAGAAAGAGGTCAACTGTCTCGATTTTTAAAGTTTGAATCAACTTCGTCTTTGGTTTGACCGACCGTTCAGGTCATTTTATTTAAACAACATTTAAATGTACATATGAATTACAAAATGGAATCGCACTCTTTTTCTGTAATGCTTCTGAAAGCCGACAATGGATTTGTGTATCGGGCAAAAAAGGTATCAATATTCTGGTCACTTCAAAGTAAAATCCTCCTTTGAAGTCTTTTCCCACTTAATCAATTACTGATAATTGAGATTTTTTTATATTTTATTGAAATTTTAAAAAAAACTAAGATATCCACCGTTCAATTTTATAATGAAATATTCCCAGCGCATTTAATATAACATTGTTTATTAATTTAAAAAAAAAGGTGCATATCTGTATTTTCCCGCTTGTTTAAATATTTTTTTAATTAATGATGCACTATTCTAAACGACGATCTAAGTCAAGGAAAGTACATGTATAAACATTTTTTTCCTTGAGCTTATACATGCATGACTAGAAATCTTTTAAATAAATTATATAAATTACAGTGTTATTTGCCGTCAGTTTTTGGGAAAATCTATCCCTGATGGTACTTAGTAAAACATAGCAAAGAAGTAAATATTAATTGTCACATACAAACAATTAAGATGTCAATATGACAGTTTATAATTTCTTTCGTTTGGAGTGTGGAAACCGTTAGAAAACCAACGTGAAATCTACACCTGTCGTGTGGTAGTACATGTCAAAAGTAATGTGCGCGGCAACGTGTGACAAACTCTTACTCACTTCTCTAAATGCCGGGAGTGGATTGTTTAGTTTGATAATATATAATGTTCATTTCATGCTGAAAAAAAAATACAACTGCAAATACTGGTAATTCTTGACTTTTATGGGTATGCGTTATTATAACCTGAACCGATGAAATGGTTAAAAACGGGTGCGAAAATTACATATCTTTATGAGAAATATGCTGCTATCAAAATCAAAATTTCAAAGAAATCGCAAGTATGTTCAAAGATGGCTCTTGTCAACGCATGAAAAGCGCTTTTCTTAGATGTGTAATTTTGCTTAAAGATATGAAACAGCGGGAAGTTATTTGCGAAACAGCGGGATAGCTTCAGAAATTCTTCTTATACCTTTTGTCGGGTTTTTTAGTCTTCTCAAATTACCTAAATTAGTTCTTTTATATGCCATAATTAACATATCATGGATTAAACGGGTAGACCATTTGTGATTGTAAGCGAACAGTAAGATATTTTACAAATGTATGTGACTCATTTTTGTTCAGCATTGGATGGACTTATTTCAATAACTGTCAGAAACATTTACTTGTTAACTTGCAATGATTGAAACTTGGTAATATGAACTTCTGGGGTTATATTATTATGTTTTTAATACAGTAATTATTTTGTTTAATATTAGTTCAGGAATTTCCCAAATCTCATAATGTCACAATACGTCAGTATTTATAAACGTCAATATTTATAAATATTCTCTTCATCGTATGTGTAATATTAAATTAACTTGACATTTTGAAATGTTTGATGATATATTATTGTATAAAATTATTACTAACAACATTTAGAAGTGAAGCAAAACCATTATCATCGTAGTATATTTTAGGCCATCTTTTAAAAAAATTGTTTGGTTGCCCTCTCCCGACATACTGGCTAAAAATGACCCGACTCAAAAAATTTTTCAACCTCCAGGAAGCAGTTATTTTTTTTATGCATTCTGGAAAATAGATTTTGAAAATTCAGCATTGAAATTGAAATTTTCTGGGGGGAAAAAAATTCTCACCTACCTACCGACCCAACTTTTTCATCCTGAGTCGGGAGAGGGTAAATAAACATTATTTTAAAGTTGGCCTTACCTAGAATAAATGTACATACTTGACATATTGTACGATAATTTTTATACGCAACATTCGAATGCATTATTTCCTCCTCTGCACAGAATTTTTCATAAAATTTCATAAAATATTAGTCTGGAAACACTCTCTTAAATAAAGATAAAGACAAAATTTTAATATACATCCTTCATTGGAGTTACTGAAAAATACCGACCTGTACACGTGATTCTGTCAGGCCGATTCTTAGCGCCAATTCCTCCCTCATGAATATGTCAGGGTAGTGAGTTTTGGCAAAGCTTCTCTCGAGCTCATTGAGTTGGGCTGGCGTAAACCTGGTGCGGTGCCTCTTCTGTTTTGAGGGTTTGTCCGAGTCCCCCATTCTGTCATCCCCCTCACTGTCGGAATCTCGGGAGGGGCTTTGTGGGGGAATCGGGCGAGGGTTACTTGAGACATTTCCTAACTCGTTCTTGATGACACCACCTAAAAGCAAAAGGGATGGGGAAAAGCAAGTTTCTTTTTCTCCTCTTTATTTCAATTTCAGTTATCGGAAGTCTTTAAGTAAATTTAAATGCAGCCACTCTATTACACACTTCTATCTTGACTATCAATGGTACGGCATCAAACATCCATTTGTCAAATATTTGATAAATGAAAATAATTAAATATTAGAGCGATTTGCTTTAATTGCTTCGAATCATGAATCATTTTAAGATTAATTAACACGATTCGAAAATTTTAATTCAATAATTTTTTGCCTACTGTATCAAAAAATCATCAATTTCAAAGCTTTAAATCTACAGACAACTTGAACAAATTCTGACACACTTAATTTCTAGTTTAAATACACGGGACGGGATTTTGTCTATCATATTACTGTAGATTTAAAGATAAATACTTTATTTAAACACAAAAATTGGAAATAAAAACATTTCCTGGAGATTAACTATGAAGGATTATTGGAACGCATTAACATTATCAAAGAAGGTGTCGCTTGCCGCTAATCATATTTAGTTAACAATGTCCAATAAACTTGAAATTGAAATGCTGGGGTTCCATTACTAACAGATGAATTAAATAAGAACGAGACCAACCAGGGCTTCCTGGCTTAATTTGCTTTTCTTATAAATGTAGAATACGGGACCGACAGTCCCCCCTTACCTTGTGTGTTCCCTCCAAAATTCCCCGCCATGGGCATCAAAGTAGCAGTACCTAAATCCATTTTGGACTCTTAATTGTAGAAGAATCACATATGAAAATTATTTTTTAAAACCTTCCATTTATTTTTATATCAATTGTTGGGGTAATTTCTGATAAGCATCCGCAAATGAATTTCATTGGACGAAATTCGATCCACAGTTCCACGCTGACGTACTATTGCTCTTGAACCTCCCATAAACGGCGGCGGAGGAATCTGACAATGGCTGTGAGAAATGCCAATAATTTTCTCAGTACATGAATATTAAGTGTTATTGATCACGAGGAAAAAAGGAAAAGAAAAGAAAAGTGGGGGTCAAGCATTTTGACAGCAACAATAATATACAGTTTGTTTTCCTTTCTGGTTAGTCAATGAGAACTGGTCATCAAACAAATGATATGTATATACAAAGGGATTGTGGGAATTTCTGATCAATGGTGTTGAATAATATTTGCCTCTCTATGCAGTTAAATAGGACGAATTTCCCTGTGCCTCAGAAGTGGTGTTTGGACAGTTCTTTGTTCGACTTCTTTCATTTATAATAAACAAAATTACATTACCATGTAAATACTAAATGGATTGAGTGACTCCGATAATGTAGTTGTGAAAAGATAATCAAATGCAGGTAACTTTATTCTGGATGCAAAAATACCTAAAAACAATGCAGTTGTTTCAATTTTTAATTTAAACCTCACTTTGTTAAGAATGTAACAGCATGTATATTGCAAATTGTTTATTTTCACACGCTAAATATTTATAACAAAATTAATTACCTGTATCTGTGGAACGTCTTCTTCCTTATTCAGCAGCTAACAAATCAATTTATTAAAACATGAATTAAAAAATCTGCGACAATATCTTTATCGCCAATACCACCACCAACTCAAATATCAATATCAAGATCATAATGATATAATGAGACGTCATTTCTTATAAATTTTTAAAAATTGTAAGACAAATTTAGAATGAGATTTATCTTTACTTCATCTCGTAAATGTAGAATACTTATCAAATAGAGAACTAATCACATTATGTTAATTGAAAGTAATGAATGGATTTGTATTCCCATAAATGAAAAAAGAGTATTAATGAACTGTTGCTCTGGACTAATTGGCAAAGAAAATCATAATCAGCTCTCCTTTTTTTTTTAAATTTAAGTTACTGTTTTAAACCGAATGTCATGAAACTTTGTGATATACTGGTGCATACACTGTATGTACTACAGTACAGATACACTAATTAAATTAATTTAAATATAATAATAAATATAATTGCAGGAATATAGCTTTTAGCAAAAATTTGATAGAATTTTAACTATGTACTTGTTTCTGTGATTTTTCTTTCAACCATATTTTGATAATTATAATATAAAGTCTCTAACTCCAAAATACATGCCCCCCCCCCTCCCCTTCCCCAGAATGGCAATCATTTACTCTTTTAGAGACAAGACAGAGGAAACCTGTTTATTACCATTCTCTTTTAAGATACTTATTTTCAAAATCGTGTGAAGCATGATTGCTTTTATTCTTTTCTATCTGCTTAAACGATGTACAAACAGTGCTCGCTGATTTGAAAACTGGTTTCACATTCCCAAAGTGCTATGGATATGTACTAGTCTCGGGAGGGAAGTAAAATCCAAAATCAGTAGGTTTAAAATTTTAATCCAAATTATTAAATAAGGCAATTGATAGAATAATGTTTTTTTTACTCTTATTTTCCTTAAATACATTATAAAATTTTTCCGATGAAAATTTAGAAAACGTCCCTTAGCCAGTCAAATTCCAAGTACATATTCTGCCAGGAACTATAGCACAAAGTAATGGATTTCGCAGTCGGTGAGCATATTAGTTTGAACGCTGTTTACAGATTAAAAAAAATAAAGACAAGCATACTATAATATATGATTTTGTAGATGAATTATTGCAAATGAGAATGGTAATTAACTCTTTGCCACTGAGTTTTCTCTGAGAGGGTCTTTCTTTATTTATTATTACTTTAAGCTTTACAGCTTATCAGTATATACAATATAATACAATATACAGTCGGATACAGTACAGAAGTGGATGATTTACAGGAGAACAATGTGTACGTACATAAATAATAATGAAATAAAAAGAAGTAAAATATTACAATTATTGGATTACAAGATCTCTTCGCATCATGCTATAATAAATATATTTACCAAGGTTACACATATCCTTATAGTTCTCTGTATTGAACAATTGCAGTAATTTAAACATGGATGGTTTTTTTAAAGAAAATTTTTTTTAATAAATTTGTTTCGATAATCTGCATAAACAGGACATACTAGTATAAAATGATATTCATCCTCAACACAAGTATGACACGAAAAACATTTCCTCTGGGCTCTGTTAGTTTTATTATATCTCCCAGTTTCAATAGCTAAAAGGTGTGAGGATAATCTTTGATATACATATATGCATTTTTGAAACTTAGCCGGAATAGATTTTTTTAAATAATATTGTAGGTAAAACCCATCAAGTAGATATTTATAGAAAGAACATTTCTGCGAACTTTCAGTTTTAGCAAATATTTCTTGTTTAGCCTGATCCAGATCCTTTGTTTAATAAATTTTAATGTAGTAGTATTAATTTGTTGTTTACCCCAAACTTCACTAAAACCAAGATCATTTAAGCATTTCTTAACCTGAAAGGCCCAGCTTTTTTGTGCATGAGATTCACAGTTAATATACATTTTTTCATAACAATTTCTAATAATACAGTTATCACTGGCTAATATATTACTCCAAAATTTTATCATTGAAAACATCCTTTTGTACAACAGAGGAAGTCTACGTAACTCAGCATAAACAGCTGCATTACATGTAGATTTTTTAACTCCTAGTATTTGCTTACAAAAGTCGAGATGAAGTTTTTCAACATTGTCCCCTTTATGAATTCCCCAGATTTCTGATGCATAATTAACAATGCCTCCAATATAGCAATCAAAAAGTGATAATAAAGTTTCATGATTAAGAGACAAAATCCTTAGGTTTTTTTTCCAATGCAAACAATGCTTTTCTACCCTGGTCAGACAGCTGTTTTTCCGCCATTGCAAATTTATTATTATAATGGAAAATAATTCCCAAGTATGTAAAATGTTCAACAATTTCCAAAGCATGATTACCAATAAACCATTTTTCATTAGATTTGATTTTGCCCTTATTTCTAAAGACTAAAACTAAAACCTCTGAGAGGGTCATTAACTGCGATTCTGGGGAGTGGGGTACTCCAAGTAATTTGAGTTCGATACCCTGTGTTATTATTATTATTATACCATGGGGTAAACAATTTAGTACAGAAACAAGTAGCTGTGTTCAATTCTTGATTTAAACAATATTTATTCAAAATACTGAATAGATTGGGCAACAGGTAATGCCTATAAATACCCTCTCTATACAAGAACAATTCTTTATTCTCTCAAAACCAGATCACTGGTACAAGAGGTACATATATACAAACAAAAATAATAGTGAAAGGTTCTAAATATGTTAAATTATACAATTTTCCGAATTTCACCCACGTTTAAAAATTCCATTACGAATAGCCTCAATAGGTAATTGTAGTGTGTTGACAATATACAAGTAAACAAAACAAATAACCCAATTAAAACAAAACCAAGAAAAAAAGATCCAAAAAAAAAAGAATATGAAAAAAGAAAACTGTCACCCAGCCGCACATGAATGATGGATATAAAACAGCATTTCATCCATACATGTATCTATACAAATATCACTTTTGAAATAATTTGAGACTCGACCAACAGCCAATTACACAATTACACACTTACATCAGACATGGTATACTTTAAATTTGTTCATTCTCACATTATTACTGAAAGTAATATCAAACCATTTGAAATCACAAACATTTTACTGTTTTTGCATTTAGAATCGGAAGTCAAAATCCACAAATATTTTTAATTAGCACTTAAAATTGTCTACAAAATTAATACATGTACATGGGCGATAATTACTTTGATTTGAGGTGTCATAGTAAGAAATCCTTCTGTCATTGTTGGGTCTAAGGTAGTTTTCTATGTAGTCTTTACTTCTCCTTTAGAGAGCATTTAGAAAGTGTTTAATTGTTTATCACAACTACATTAGAATCCAAGACATCTGCTCGACCACACATAAACTGCATCGTTGCAGTAAGATAAAGTATGCTGTTTGGTGTAGGGCCGTTGCGTAGACTCTGTGTGAAAAATTTCCACCGTGTCGTACAGTAAATACCAGATTAAGCGGACTTTTCAACCTTTCTACAATGCAATGTCTAAATATTATAGCCTCAGATCTAAAACTCACACCGTAATCTAAACAATTATATCAGGCCATTTTTATGCAGAGTTTCATTTAAACAATATTTTATTATACATAATCATAATAGGATTGGACAGCAGGCACTATCTATATAAGTCCTCTCCATAATACAAGGTCAAAGTCATACATGTACAAGTACATGTACATATAAGTTACATATCATTGAAAAAATAAATATATTCATGTGCATATTCAAAAGAAATTTATAAAAATAAGACAAAATAAATAGTAAAAAATTAATTATACGTGAGCTGATGATACAATATATGTATATGTTTACAGTTTAACAGATATGACTAATAAAAATAATACAGGTATAAATGTGAACGTTAAAAAGAACACATAAATAGATGTTGGTTCTGTGGTTTGACAATTTAAAAAAAAAGAAGAAGAGAGACAATATCATGCAAATCTCTCAATAGATGTATAAATCCATGAACAAGTTTATAAATACTGCAATATTTTGGTTGTAAGTAAGATTAGAGTTTCAAATTTAGATAGGTCTATTTCAAGTAACCATGTCAAGATGGGTTTTAAAAGAGTTGTGTGTAGAATATCTGAGAATTATTTTTGAAGTATTACTGAAAGTCCATTCTTAGGACATTTGCTAAGCAAGAAAGCATATGTAGTGGTGCATAGCAAGTGGTGTAACTACCTTTTTTCTCTCTTTTCTTCATCAAAATATTTTGGAAAA